TTTATACACTTACCGTTACTTCTCACAGCTGCAGGATTCTTTTGGTGACATGCACATTATGTTTCCGGAGCAAATTCTGTCTTAGGTGACTTAAATAAACGTCCTGGGTCCATTTTCAATTTCGCGCTAGATATGACGTTTGCCAATTACAGGTATGTGTCTAAAGTGTACGCAGGTTTGTTCCGGACACATTTGCATGCAGAAAAATTGCACATTTTTATGAATAGGTGACATCATACCCACCTAGCGTCCATCAGTAATAACAGATTTGTGAGGTTGATTTATTATCGTTTGACATGCATGGGAAAGTTACAATAATTAATCATACGATCAGATCTAGTGTCCATCGTGAAGAGAAACTGGAGTGTGCGTTTGAAGTAATTTCTACGGGAATAAATACAGAGAGAAAAGTAACGCTTGTGTTTTCCGAAGAAAATGTGTTAGTATATTGAAACTGTGAATGTAAGTTGGAAGACAGTTCACTCTTTTTAACAAAACTGCTGAGAAAGCAATTTAGTAATTGGTATTTGAATTGATTAATTTTTTGGCTAAATATTGGATATAGATTGATTCATTGACCGTGAGATTCAACAAATGGTGTATAATGGTATATATGTTATATCGTGCCGACGCAGTAAGAGTGAAGTATTTTACCCACTCTGCCTGGCGTCGACTCAGCCTTATATGGACAAAATCTGAATATGCGCAATTCCAGTCGCGAGTCCGGAACGCTATCCACTGATCCACCGTAGCTACCTTAAACTGGGTGTTGTACGATCAGTAATATCTGGGGACAGTATATCCTAAAATGAAACTCGCAAGGTTGAAATGGGAATGCATGGTCTAGGCGTGACTCCCGCGTTATAAACCCCATTAGCTTAACACTTGATGACTCTGTGGCCTCAAGGGGAATGGTAATGTTACAAATGGTCAATGGGATTAACTGTTATTGAACAGCACCCACCAGTGCCGTCTTAACAGCATTGTAGGCTCTGGGCAAAGCAGTTTATTGGGCCCCCTACCGGTCCTACTATTCATTAACAATATGGGCATGATGCCCCTAGAAGCGCGAGCCCCTGTGCACATTTCCAGTGTGCCCATACCTTGAGACGACACTGGCACCCAAACTTACTGATCAGTACCTACACATACTGTTTAGCACCAATACCTACCTACCGTCATCGACGTCAGCTCACTGACATTCATGTCTACCAAACATCAACACCCCCTACTGATCAGCACCCACATCTACTCACTATACCCGATGCCTACCATCCAATACACGGTGTTAATGACTAGTACCCCCATTTATCGACCAGTAAATACGGACTAATAATCACCACATTTATTGAGCAACACGCAGTCTTGTACCTACTGGCAAACACTTGCCTACGAAAAGATTTGTAACTGTAGGATGTATTAATATCACCATTCATCACTCAAAATTGTCTAACCTAAACAGAGAAACCCTGAATATAGAATGATGCCAGGTGACTGCATGCATGCATCCTAGATTTTAGGAATTTTAGCATTTTGTTAATATTATTTGGTTCCTTTGATTACAGGTTTTTATAACATCAGTGCATTATATGTAAATCTACCTAAACCGCCAACATAATATGATGTATATTAATTGCTTTATATATAAGTCTAGGATATTAGCATACATTTGAACCACTTGTTAGCATTCTGTCCTTAGAGGCTGATTTTCTTTGTTGTTTTTACTTTGGGGGTATTTGGTTTTCATGTATGCCTAGATCTATTTCATGCAATATATTATTATTATTATTATTATTATTATTATTATTATTATTATTATTATTATTATTATTATTATTATTATTATTATTATCGTTATTATTATTATTATTATTATTTTTATTATTATTATTATTATTTTTATTATTATTATTATTATTATTATTATTATTTTACTATTAATAATAATAATAATAATAATAATAATAATAATAATAATAATAATAATAATAATAATAATAATAATAATAATAATAACATTTTTATTAAACATACACGTTTATTTTCGGTAGGATATCACGCTAGTGTTCAATACTTTCGGAGCACTTCACATTTAAATTAAAAAAAAGAAATATACTGAGATAAAATTAGGATACCGGTGTATTTTTAATTCACATGAGGCAGATTTAACAGGAGTAAACACAATAACAAATGTGAATTTAAATTACACAGAGAAAGAAACAAGTTGGGGATGATAATTTACTAGGGATAGGCTTGAGAATAGAAATTAATAGGTTAAAACTTGTTGCCCTAATTCAGATTATTCCAATTTTAATTGTTTTGGAAATATTACAAAATAATACTAAATGAGCTTAATGTTCAACTCAATATTTTTCTGTGCTGACTTCAGTTTAGTATCGGATCAAACTTTGAAGAGGCGTATTTAAATATTAATTACCCAAAAGCCACATAAAGATTAAATATATACACAGAGGATCATAGTATGGTTGACTATTATAGAGTAATTAATCTACATATGCAACATATTAAGCTGGTTTCAATTTATTTTCTTATTTCTGAATATCTAACAAACTTAATAA